GAAGAAGGGAGGGGGAGGGGGGGAAAATGGAAAATGAGCTGATTCCGGGAACCCAAGAGGCAAGCGAATTTTGGGAATGATGAGGGCAATAAATGTATAGATGTGCTTTACACAATTGATCTATGTATTGTGATGAATTGTATGAGCCCCAATAAATTGATTAAAAAAGAAAAACAAAACAAAAAAAACAACAAAATCTAATAGTTTCTTCAACCATGTCTTTTTAATATCGTGTCTTCTCTTTATCAAGAACTATGCTTCTGCTAGAAGAGCTATAAATAGCTCATGTAACCAAAGTGGCTTCATCAAGATCAGGTCCCCTCCTCCTTGCCAGAAGCTCTCTCCAAATAGAAGTTCCTGATAAGTGGTGTCAGGGAAGAGGTGACTTCAAGTTCCCCCTCTGAAAACCTTTAAAAAGCCCTGCAATTGATAAATTATTGTTCAGAATCCAGAATACTCAACAGTAACTTCAGAAAATTATTATAACCTCTACACAGTACTTGAAGTTAAAGGGTGTTACTTACCGTTACCTTTCCACCTGTCCTCCCCCATGACCACTATGGCTGCTATCTACCTGCCAAAATGCTCGAAATCCTCTCAACTACCCACAAAGTACTTCAAAGCGTCTTGAACCCTTAATGTGATCAAACGCATGACTTCCTATTGGACATCCTGGTGGTCCTTGCCTCTTATCAAGGAGCCCTGGTAGCACAGTAGTTCAGCATTTAGATGCTAATCAAAAGGCTGCTAACCCACCAGTCTCTCCATGGGAGAAAGAAGTGGGAATCTATTTCTATTAAGATTTACAACCCAGGAACCCCTATGAGGTAATTATACTCAGCCCTATAGGGTCAATATGAAGAGAGTAGACTCCACAGCAACAGATTTTAGGGTTTTCCCTTCCTCACCATCAGAAGACACAGAAACTTCCACCAAAAAAAAAAAGGCTCTTATGGATTGAACTACTGACTAGCATGATATTTGAATTATGTCCCAATAAAACTGCTTCTTAAGAAAAGAAATAAAAATGGCTATTTCCTATAGGGAGCTAATCCTTGCTTGGTTAAAATTCTGAGAAGAGACTAAACAAAGATTCAAAGGCAAGTCTTCAAACTCTAGATCAGCGGTTCTCAACCTGTGGGTCACGACCCCTATGAGGGTCGAAGGACCCTCTCACAGGCATTGCCCAATTCATAACAGTAGCACAATTACAGTTATGAAGTAGCAACAAAAATAATTTTACGGTAGGGGGGTCACCACAACACGAGGAGCTGTATTAAAGGGTTGCAGCATTAGGAAGGTTGAGAACCACTGCTCTAGATGATAAAGTGACCAATTCATTCTCTTAACAGAGTACTGATGTCTTCTCCCTCTCCCACTACAGCACTAAAGAATATTAAGAGTTACTTTACTCAACCTCACTACCCCTACTGCATGTCTATAAAACTCTCTAACAAGAGCTTAACTAATCTTTTTTCAAAGCAGAAAAAGAATGGTCCATGGTACAAAGGCCAAGGATAGCAAACAATGCACAACAAGTGCTAATAATATACCCATGACTCACTTATCAACATGGTTTGATTCCAAAGACTGTGACATTATGCAAAAATCAGAGAGATTTGATAACAGGGAGCAATCACTTCATATCAATAAATGGTTGACAACTAAACCATCATATAACTGTCAAGTTACATAGTAACATAACTGCAAAATCACATCATACCATACCTGTCGAATCATATCAGGACATAACTATCAAATTACATCTTTATATAGCTGGTAACTCACTGAAAAGCATGATCCTGCCAAGTTAATACCTAACACTAAGCATCATAGCCAGCATTACTCTCAGTTCATAACTCCTTCATCACTGCCAAACATATCATTAATGTGTAAAATCATAATTGTCTTAACATTTGTCATGAATGTAAAATGTTGGATGATGAGGTAGTTAAGTAAAGCGTAGGTGTATACATGTGGCAGATTTTAGGTCAACCTGAGAGTACCTGTGTGGAGGTAGGGGTGGAATCCAACCTGTCAATCAGATCACAATTTGATGATGCCTCCTTGGAGGCATGGCCTTTTTATAAGGGAGGAAACTGGGAGCTTCCTTCTCTCTTTGCCACGTCACTTTCCTGCTTGCTGAGACTCTGCTGGCCTTCAGGGGCAGCCCCACGGTGTCGGTACCCTGGCATGTTTCCACCTACCTTGGATCCACTGACCCTGTACTCGCTGTCCTGTGATATCCCTGCTTTCTGCTTCACCTTTCAACATCATTGACCTGTAGCTACGTGAGTCTAAAGAGAACCCAGCTATTAATCAGTCCCATGAACTTAAGTTAAACTGAGCTGGGACACTATTTAAATGTAAAGTTGCTTCTTGCCATAAAGTTCTTTCTTGTACATAGGTGAGTGTCACTGGTTCTTCTAAACAAACCAGGCTAATGCAATCCCCAATGCTAATCCCACACTGAACCATCACAGGGCCTACGTCAATATTCAATAGGCATCTCTACATGGTTCTCTAGAAATATATGATATCGGGTCACTTTCAGTAATGTTGTTTCAGTGAGTCTATTGTATTAAAAAAAAAAATAAAGGCAGTTTTCACAGACAGTTAAAACCAATTCATGATAATTCTTTATGTGTTACAATGGCTGATTCTTTCATGAAATACATTGAAATGGCATTTCTTCCAAGGTTCTTCTAGGAGATTCAAACTTCCAACATTTTGGTAAGTCAAACACATTAAGACTCAATGACTCTACTGCATGGAAAACTGCATTAAATGTCAGAAGCTTTTATCACTCTGGTTAGAATAAGAAAGAATTCTCAATCCTAAATATGTGTTCTCAAACCATAGACAGATAGATATTGCTAGATGATATATGGGTTGAGAATATATATATTTTTAATATAAATTCTCAGTCCTTAATATTTTATTATAGCAGAGCAACCAAACTGAGAGCAGACTATGTAGGAAGAATAGACAGTCTACTCCTGAGAGATTAGCCACAGAAAACTATGAATACCAGCAGAACTTTGATATAGTGCTAGAAGTTGAGCTCCTCATGCTGGATCCTAAATCGACAAACAAAAATCACACTATAGAGTCAATTCTAACTCACAGTGACCCTGTAGGAGAGAGGAGAACTGCTTTGAGGCTATCAATCTTTACTGGAGCCAAAAGCCTCATCTTTTTCCATCTGAGCAGCTAGCATATTTGAACCAGTTGACCTCATGGTTAGCAGTCCAGTTCAGCATACACACTAAACCTCAAGCTGGAAGTCACCCAAAATACAATTCAAAAAGAGCTGCATCCTCAGGTAAACTCGACCTTAATGATGTAGATAGAGCAAAGTTTGTAGTATCTTCACATGCTGACGGGGATCTACTCAAAATTAAAAGAAAACAGTTACAAATATCCATTAATAATTAGAATGTGTGATGTATGCAGTATTGTTCTAGAAAAACTGTAAGTTATCAGAAATAAAATGAAACCCAAAAAGAATAAAATCTGTGGGGGGAAGTCAGATCCTTGCTGCCAGACTGCTGTCTCATCCCACCAGGGGTGGGCCTGCTCCCTGCCTCTGGGGACAATGGACAGGCTCCTGTAGGAGGGGTTTGCACCCTACTGATAATGGTTCCTATGGAGACCCAGAGACCACCCCCTAGACCACCCTCTCATTGCTGTGTAACCTATAGTGCAGCTCCTCCCTGTGACATATGTCTTTACCTGTAATTAGTGGGCTGGCATGCCCCCAAAAGGTATATAGGCTTGAGTCAGCAAGATCGAGCTCTCTGACTCTGAGCTCCTTGCTGCTCACTCCCTGGTCACTCCCCTCTCCCTTGTTCCCTTACCATCCTTCCCTTCCCCCTCTCTCCATGTGGACCATCACGCTGGGCTGAGGTGAGCAATGCTACCATGTAACGTGTCTGACTGCATTATTGTAATATCTCTCATGCTCTCGATGACTTTAATATAATGCTTATATATCTCAACCGTACAATTGTGCATTACTGAACCCAGAAGTAGTATTACTGAACCAGTGAGTTCTAGTAGCGGGTGGGGCTGGCACCCAACCCCCCATTGGCACATTTTAAATTTAATACTACAAAAATCCAAGGCATCAGGACACCGAAATAGACTGGTATTGGCCAGTTAGAATCTGACAATCACATGGATTACTATGCCAGGAGCAACAAGAGAACATTTTGAGATTTATATGTATCTACAATCCTACAAAGAAGAACAATTAATATAACTATTAGTCAAATGTATGCACCAACCACTAAAGCCAATGATGAAGAAACTGAAGAATGTTGCCAATCTTCTTCAGTTTGAAATTGATTAAACGTGCAATCAAGACGTATTGATAGTACTGGTGACTGGAATGCAAATGTTGGAAAGAAGAGAAAGATCAGCACTTAAAAAATAGGACTTTGTGAAAGAAAGGAAGCCAGGGATCACATATAGAATTCGCAAGACCAACAACTTCAGCATTGTAAATACCTTATTCAACAGCATAAACCGTGACTATACAGATGTACTACATAGGAATCAAATGGGCTCCATCTGGGGGAAAAGGTGACAAGAAAGCTCAATATCTTCAGCCAAACCAAGACAGGGGCTGACTATGGAACAGACCACCATCAATTGCTGATATGAAGAAAATTAAAACAAATCCACAACAGCCAAAATAAAACCTTTGAATATATCCCACCTGAATTTAGAGGCCATCTCAAAAGCAGATGTGTCACACCGAACACAAATGATCAATGACCAGATCTGGGATCTCAAGAACACCATACATGAAGAAAGCAAATGGTCATTAAAGAGAGGGGAAAATAGATCAAAGTGAATATGAGCATAGACTCTGAACCTTGCTCCTGAATGCAGAGTTACTAAAGTAAATATAAGAAAGGATTAGGTAAAAGAGCTAAACAAAAAATGTCAAAAGACAGCTCAAGAGACAATGGAAGTAAAGCACTATAATGAAATGTCACATAGATATAGTCAAAGGTTAATGGTCAGGCAGGACAACTTTGCAAAAAGAAACAACTCCAATCTCCATCCAATCATAAAAATGAATTCTCTAATCTTCCTTAATAGTCTGAAGAGAGTTAAAAGAGACACACCCATCTATTCTTTCACAGGAAAAGGTTTAAGACTCTAAAACCAGGCAAATAAAAAATGGCCAAAGAGCCTGTTGTGCAGAGAACTCGCGGTAAGGAGGTTACAGGAGTTGAACCTCATTGTCGTGGTCCTCTGAAGTAAAGACATGACAGGCTGATGAGCTCCCAGAACACTACACTGAGGCTTTGGAACCTGGGCTTCTCGACTTTGTCCTAGCACCAGCTAGTTCTATGGGTAACGACAGTTAATCTTGATTACAATCCAAAGAGGATTTATTAGCTGTCGTCATATTGCTGAAGGAGTCCTGGTGGTGTGGTTGCTATGAGTTGAGCTACTACCCACAAAGTCAGCAGCTCGAAACCACCAGCCACTCCACAGAAGAAAGACAAGGCTTTTTACTCTCATAAAAAGTTAGTCTTTATGAGTCCGAACCAACTAAATGGCAGGGAGTTTTAGTTATTTTAAATTTTGAAGATTGTTTAATTATATCTAGTCTAATATAGGATCGATAAATTTTTCAGCAACATTTTAATTTTTTTAAAGGTTAACATATGATCAGTTTTTAAGACTACCTAAATATGCTCATTACCCTATAGGGTAAAAGTAAATAGATAAGGGAATTGACAAAGATCTAGGAAGAGTTGCCCTTGAAAGATCTTCCCTTCTAACTGGAGAGAAGGAAAGGCAGGTGTTCACTGTAGCAAAGTTAATCTCCTCAGGTCCAATTCTGCTTTGGCTGTTTGGATCTTCAAGACGTGAAAATCATGTGCTACTGTACTTCAAGACAAGAATTAAAAAAGAAAGACCGGTATGTTCTTATTTCCACTCATCGCTTTGGGCTTACCTGCATGAACCAGCACAAAGCCCCCTCGTTTCTCTTTACAGGATTGCTTTGTTTCCAGCTCCTGGGCTGTTACTTTAATAGCTGAAGTCTGAGATGAGCTGGAAGGCAGTCCTTCTGGACTCATCCCCTTCTCCATGGTCATTCTCCAAGAGTATCATCTTCTAACGGGAAAAGAGCATACTTCCATCCAAACGTAATTTCAGGAGAGGAATCTATCCTGGAGGAAAACCAACCAAAAATGGTATGCAATTCTTTCCAAGACACAAGTTATTTACTTATTCATTCATTCCCTTATACAAAATATGACTTCTACAAAATGCAGTTTGTAATAAGTTATTTGGGTGCTACAGGAATTTTCCTAAATTAGCATTTAAATCTCTTAGCCCACTGGCTTAAAGCCATCTTTTAAAAGAGTGCTTCAGGAGTATAACGGTATATTCTTTACATTGAAGTAATCCTCAACAAAATTTAAACATGGGGAAAAAACAGAGACCATGTATGACCTCCTCTGGCTTTGCTGTAAGCCAAGAGACAGAGGTTAGGCAGGGCTCCATCCTCTATTTTTCTTGATCTAGTCCATCTCCAACCATTCCTCCTATAGCACTCTTCTTGTTGCTAGTTCGTTGCAATGGCCACAAGAACTCACAAGCAAAACTCACAACTATGGAGGCTGACTAGCAGTGGAAGTGAATGGTTTCAAGTTAAGAGAGGATCAGAAGAGGAGACAGTCACTGGTCCACAGCAGTGCCTCTTCTCAGTCGGCAGCCAAGTTTCTCCTGGGTCCTCAGCCTCCCAGCCATGTGGCTCCTTGGTCTCTGCCTCCAGGGACCAGGAAGCCAATCCATTGATATTACAGTCTCACTCTTGGTGCTACTCCTCCGTTGTGTACCATGGTGTCTTGGCCTCTGAGATACAGTCAATTAATACGGCCCTTCTAGCCATAATTCATTAAATAGTGTATCATAATTGTGCCCTCTGGCTGAGGCTGTGCTCTGACTTTGGAGGGAGCTGTTACAGGAGTAAGGTGGGGTTAAACCCTGACCTCAGAAGAGGGTGTGAACAGAGGGTGTGAACCGTTACACCTTTTGTTTCCAGACACCATCCTTGTTCTCTTTGGGGGATAGTCACTGGAAGACAAACCACACCTCCATCAAAACCTTTCCTCGGTGTATAAAATGCATATGGGAAACAGAAATCTGAAGACATTGTAAGAACATGCCTACAGTCTCTGTCTGAAGTGGAAGAGGCCACCGAGACCAGATACACCAGAGACTGTGGCACAGAGACTCAGAAGAGCAGCGCCATCGCAGTACCTCCCCATCATCTGGCCTAAGACTACGTAACTTAGAAGCAGCAGGCTGCTTCCTGGTCCATGGAGGCAAAGGCCAAGGGACCAGGTGGGTAAGAGGGTGAGACCAGAGGAAGCCTTGGCTGCTGGCTGAGGGGAGGTGTGCCTGTGGACTAAGAATTGTATTTTTCCTATTTGCTGATCCTGACTGTGGTAACTTATTAACGATCCTCATAAACTCTTAATCATGAGTATTGTCTGTGAGCTCTGTGTCCAATTTCAATAAATTATCGAACCCAGCATAAAAGTTAATATCTAATTTTGGAAGGAGCTCTGCAGTCATATGCTTTGGCACACAGTTGGTGGGAAAATTGTGTGTGTGTGTGTGTGAGAGAGAGAGAGAGAGAGAGAGAGAGAGAGAGAGAGAGAGAGAGAGAGAGAGAGAGATTCATAATAAAACCTCTGCTGGCACAGTAGGTTCTTTCTGGGATCCACAGTAAACCTGGAAAATTGTACTGTTTTGAAGGTAATTCTGTTGTGTTTTGCTTTTAGGTTTTATTGGCCCTTGATCCACATAACATACAATAGCTCAATCATTTCAAGAACAGTTGAACAATCTTTACCACAATCAATTTTAGAACATTTTCTTCTTCCTTGTACTCATCAGTATTCATGGTTGTTGTTTTTTTCGTCAATTCTGACAAAAATATATACAACAAAACATTATGCAATTCAACAACTTCTACATGTATGATTCGGTGCCACTGATTATATTCTTTTTGTTGCTCAACTATTATTGATATCCCTCTCTAAATTGTTCTAGTATCATTAACATAAGCTCAATGCCCCCTGAGCAAAAACCCTTCATTTTTCAACCATGGTAGCCATAGGTCCAGTTTGGGTATTTTGGGTTTTTCAAGGTTTTGTTTCTATAGTTAAATTGCTTTAAAAAAGAGTTGTATATACATCATCCCAATTAATTCTGACGCTCCCTCCCCACTCCAGTATTCATTGATGGCCAATTCCCCTCCCCCCCCCCCATCCTGATAACCAATTGCATTAGTTATTGGCTCTATGCACCCACTCCTTCTGTGCTTCATGAACTGGGAGACATAACCGAAACAATGAAAAGCAAAACAGAAAGAACAACAATATCTGAGCAGGACAGGCCTGTGGAGACATGACTGCCCCCCGCCTGCACCAGAACCTCGTGCCCCACTGTGGGTACAGCTGCAGCTACAACGCCCCCACCCCTCCCCTCATCCCCAAACCGACAAAGTCAAATAAAGGTGCCAGCTGACTGCTTAAAGAAAAAAAAGAGGGTGGGGGATGTAAAGTTCCTGAACCAGTTGTGGAGGATCTTAGCCCTTTTGAGGCTTTGCAAAATTGACAAAGCAAGCCTCACTCTCACTGAAATGGGTACAGATTGGATTCCTTGAGCATCCGTGGGTAAACACTCTTCATTATCCATTGGTAACTTCACATGGGATAAGACGGATTGTCCCTGTTGCCCCCTGGAGACCCACTGGGGTATGTTCCCAGTCGGGGGTCTAAATCAACCATCTGTTACCAAGAGGAATGAGATGGTATCAGGGTGTCCACAGCGCTTCTCACAAAGGCATGTCTGACCCCTGCCCTGTGGCAACAGAGAAGCCAGAGGAAGTCCAATATTGCCCCTGTACTGTTTACTGTAGCCTCAATTTCTTGCCTTGGCCTGGTATCACTGCTCGGTCCCATGGTCTCTGTGCCCCAGCCTCTGGTGCGTCTCTCTGGTCAGGGCCTCCAACCCTTCAGACAGACCTCTGAGGCTCTCCTGAGGACCCTGGAATTTCTTTCTTTGATTCTCAGATGACTCTTAGACAGAGAAGTGGCTTTGAGGGGTGTTTTTGGTCTTTTGGCCAACCATGCTCCCAAGGAAACAAAGCTTAGTGACCTGGTTTACATCCTCTAGTAAAGTGGAGGGTTAATCCCACCTAGTCCTGGCCATAAGCATAGAATATAACTTCCTCTAAAATGGGATTGCAACTACGGTCATAGACTCTAGAATATTTAGCACATTACATAATGATAATGACTATTGTTGTTAGGTGTAAGCAAATCAGGCCCGCCCCACAGTGATTTTATGCATACCAAAAGGAAATACTTCCCAGTCTTTTGCCATTTTCATAATTGTTCCTAAAAGGGCCATATTAATTGACTACATCAAGCACCACTTTTGATTTCTCCCATATCAAATGCTAATAATCTCTAGAGCATTCCAGAAACACAAGGATATGGGCATTAAACTAAACTTTGCAGGATTAAAAACCCATGCCCATGGAGAACCTATAAAAAAAAATGAGATTTACACTTCGCTATTCTATTGCTAAACACAAATGCTAACAAAATTCCCTAAAAAATAGCATTTCTGCAAATAGTGTTCAATTTTCACAAAGTTTGTTTCTGAGGTCTTCAATATATAAATGAGTCATAAAATTAACTATAACAAATTCCAGATAATTTATGCCACAATGTATCTATCTTCTCTATTACTAGCTGCTCACCGGCTTTTAGCAATTGACTATGCAGAACACATTTTAGATTACGGAAAAGGCAAGCATCACTGAAAATTCAAAACACAAAACTTAAAGGAAGTCCAAGAGTGAGGAGACTGAAACTTCTTAAATCAGCCCTGTGATATTTTGTACAGATTTAAATCTTCATACTATTCTAAATTGTGAAATGGGGTAAGAAGTACAATATACAGTATAAATATACTTTTCCAATATACAGTATAAATATAAAATTTGGCTTAGCCAACTGCCTCGTTCAAGAACACAGTGCTACTCAAAATGTGATCTGCCAACCTGTGTTTGCTGCCAATCCAAAAGAGTATTTGATTAATATAAATTGCTAATTTATATGCACATTGATTCATATGCAATATAATACCACCCTCTCCAAGTCCCTTTTTTATTTCTTTTTACAAAGGTATTAATATAAAATGGATAGAAAATGTTGAAAGTTGATTTTTTACAAGAGACTGAAAAACACTTCAATATAGTATTTTAGCTTCCCTTGTTAATTTTAAGGAGTTCTGATTCTACAGTGAATTAGGCTGTGGGCTATTCACCAAAAAGTTAAGTTTGAGCCCACCAGCTGCTGGTGGGACAGAGATGAGGCAGTCTGCTTCTGTAAAGATGTACTGCCTTGGAAAATCTGTAGTTCTACCCTACCCTAGAGTCACCAAATGTCAGAATCATCTAGATCTCATGGGGGTCACCTAAGACCATCGGAAAACTCATATTTCTGATGGTTTTAGGAACCGAGACACTACTCCTCTATCCATCTCCAGGCAGGCCCGCCCACATGCACATAGGTCCACATACAAGTCCCAGCGTGATGACATCATCACACCAACCCTGTCACATACACCCTGTACAAATAGAGGTGTCTGTGACAGGGTTGGTGCCATAACGGACTTATGCGGACCAATCACACGTGTAGAAAGCAGCTACTATGTAGAAAATAGCTGCTGTGTTGAAAGCAGCTACTCTGTTAAAAGCAGCTACTTGTTGAAAGCAGAAGTATTGGAGGTAAAATGACACTTCATAAATTATAATGACTGGGTAAATGTAAAATCATGTACTGTAAAATCATCAACTACTGCAGAAAAAAAAATCTGTACCATGGGAACTTAATCTAGAAGCTGATGATTCTTTTTATATTCAGCTGTGGTTGACGTGAATACTGCCTCCTTGTGATAGTAACAGGTATGTAATAAAAACAACACAGAGAATGGTAAACCATATGAAACTTTAATGAACTGTATTGACTGAACTATGCTATGTATCATCTTTTGTATTATTAAAGCTATTGTTATATGTAATTTTCATTAGCAAACCATCCCATGACAATGGACCATGCAGAAAAGAACAAAGAAAAGAAAA